TGCCTATGAACCATTTGACAAATCGAAACTTTTGATGGCGTGAATTTATCACTTGGACGGGCAGTTTGAATAATTCCCAAGTTCTAATCTAATTAACCTAACCAAAACACTACAGATTGTTTGTTTTATTACTTTGACCATGACAGAGTGACCATAATTCATACTCCTTGGGAAAAGCGATAAATCATGCGGTTCTTACTATATATGACATTATTAATACAGATAGTAACCTAGCTTTTCAAATTGCCCGTAACATATATTATACATAGGAAATGAAACTATTTTCGCGTATATTAAATAAACATATAAACTAAACTAATCGCGTATTGTGGTACATACGCGATTTAAATCAGGAAAAAAAAAATAGTTTCATTTCCTATGTGTAACAATCGCGAAAACCTAAGAACTCCATATATATTATGTATTCTTTTTTTATAAAATGTTCTCAGTGTTTTATTTATATTAATAAACAAGTTTAATGTTGTGCTTAAATGGCAAACTTATTTTGATAATGAGATTCGTAGAAGTTACTTTTATCTTTAAGAATATAATTTGAATGGTATCGTATATATTGCATATAATCGTATCGTAATGTATGTATATATCATATTATATGCGTCTTTGTGTATTTAGAATTCTAGTGTAACATATTACATACTCAAGATTAGGTACCAAATGTATTAGAATAAAGTAAGTACAACCGAGATACGGCTTCTGAGAAACCACTTGTGTCATCTTTTGAAGTCGACACATGAATTTTCGCTATTTTAAAATGTAGCCAAAGTCTTATGAATAAATAATATATACCTACTTACAGTGGCAGCACTTTATTTCCTTTATCAAGGCAATGTCGATATTTGTTATTGACATGGTCTTGTTTTTGATCTTGACGACCTTCAAGGCCTAACGGGACTAATTTGAAATATGAACTTTTTAATTTAGTTCTGAGTAGTTCCCTAAAAGAATGCCGTTACTCTGTTACTCATGTACTTATAAGGAATTACCTTCATTGAGGCAAGGTAATTAGTGTGGTTATCTAGCACGTTAAGTATTTGTATAAGATTCGTGTACCTCGTCCTTCGATTAATGTGAACTTTTGAGCACAAAGAGCATGATTACTATAATTAATTGTATGACAATCTATGATTATACCTTTATTTTATAACTAAAAAACCGACCTCAAAAGTCATTCATCCCCAAGTTGTATGGTGGCAACCATTAGAGGTGGAATATTTTCTTCATATTTAAATGAGACTACTACTGAGATAGATACCCTCTTTCCAACAAAAAAATAATCACCAAAATCGATTCAGAAATGCCGCCGGAGTTATCGCGTAACATACATACAAAAAAAACAGTCGAATTAAGAACCTCCTCCTTTTTTGGAGTCTAATTAGATATATATAAATATAGTAGGTAATTGCTCGATCGTGCGTTCGAAGATTAAAAAAAGGATGTCGTCCAAAAACGAAGTTACGAGATTTCCAAATGTAGCCGACGTAAATATAATGAAAAAAAAAATTAAATTAAAAATATTTTAGCACTCAATTGCACGTCTATATTAAATGTGTGAAAAATACATATGTTTTCAAGTTGACCGTGTAACCGAATAAAGCCAAGGTACAAGAAGTTTTCCAATACTAATATATATTTATTTGTTTCAGAACGTCAGCGAAGGGTGTGACTTCCATACGAAAACCATTTTAGCCTCCGTTCCCATACATTTACATGCTTTTTTATTCTACGTTCTAATATTGGGCTTCTTCGTGACTCGAATTACTTCTAACCTATTAGTTTGTCGTATAAATAGCATTGTCTTACTGAAGATTAAAAGAAACATTTACATAATGTCACAGACAACGTGACGCCTCGAATAAGTTTCCATAGAATATATTTTCTGAGTAAACGCACGCTGCGGAGAAAACAATTCAGTTTTGTAAAATTTGTTATTGATAAGAACGAAATGTCTTTTACGTCTGAAGAACCCTTTGTATTCTGCAAATGAACTTATGGACCTTCTAATGTAACGATATTGAGTATTGTCTAATTTATTAAATTTTTATTTCATTGACATACCTATTTTTGTACTATTTCCTCGTGTCATGTATTTGTTGTCAACTTATGACTATCCTTGAAGAAGAACAATATTTGTAATGTAATTTAATGACATTTGTATATTATTAATGAATTGTTCATTTTGTAATACTTGTGTATTTTACATTTTATAATTTTCATTTTTGTTTGACGATCTCTATACAATTTCTTGTACCTTGACATGTAGTGCAATTTACACTGTAACATTATTTTTCATGCATTTTACTATGTTTAAATTTTGAAAGATTTCCTTGCACATGGTGTCTTATACAACTTCTTTACCGCCTGCTCTAGGAGGCAGGTAATGCTTTTTAACAAACACATTTAAATAAAATTTATCAGATATTATTTTTACACTCCAACAATAATCATCACATATATAAAATATAAGTGATGGTTGTTGTTGGAGTGTAAAAATTGTCTATTACTATAAAACATATTTGTTACATACATTTTTCTTCAGTGAAAATTTGCATTCTAGCGTACGAGTTGTAATGAAGTCGAACTTTATGCACAAAGAGTGAAGGAGGCAATTATCGTGTGCAGAGTACGGTATACAAGGGGTCTAGTAACAATAACAACTTTGCTCGTTGTTTTGGGATGTGTTTTGTGGTACAAAACCAAGCGGTAGCGTTGTTTATTATGTAATTAGATACAGGATCCCCTAGATTA